ATGGCAAGACTACGTCTCACATACTTTGGACATGTTATCAGGAGGGATCAGTCCCTGGAGAAGGACATCATGCTTGGTAAAGTAGAGGGTCAGCGAGAAAGAGGAAAACCCTCAATGAGATGGATTGACACAGTGGCTGCAACATGGGGCTTAAGCATAACAAGAATTGTGAGGATGGCACAGGACCAGGCAGTGTTTTGTTCTGTTGTACACAGTGTCGCTATGAGTTGGAACCTACTCGACGGCACCTAACAACAACTAACAATGTAAGCATGTATGGGAGGCTGTGAGTGTATTACGCAGCCAAACCTTCATGTAGGGTTTTAAAGTTGTCGATGTTGTTAGTTGCAATCGAGTCGATTCTGACTCACAGCAACCCCGTGTGTGGAGTATAGCTGTTCCATATGGTTTTCAAGGCTGTGAGCTTTTGGAGGCAGATCTCCAGGCCTGTCTTAACAGGTGCCTGAGTGGGTTCAAACCAGCAACCTTCCAGGCGAAGTGTCCTGGGCCTAAGCATCTGTGCCACCCATAGACCCGATTTTTATAGTAGAGACTGTAAAACAAATGGCCCTCACGGAGGTCACCTAACCTATGTAGAACCACTGGACTGTCCTTCTGACCCATGGGCCTCCCCACTGGAAGACCAAATGCAGAATGACTACCTACTACCTGGGTCCACCCTCACTGCCTTCTGACTTGCCATAGCCACTGATCACTACTCCTGATGTCACAATGGCCTTACTCTCTTTGGATCCAGGCTGCTGAGTCCTTGCCATGAATGAGGTAGCTCAATAAGTCTAGAAAAGCCAATGAGCCAACGATAATAGAGGAAATCAAGATATTCATCCCAACCTAAGCCAAGAATCAATTTCCTGTGAAAGCTAAAATTGTACCCAAGAAGAACTATATATCTATATCTGCGCACAAAAAACTGGGTACCTGTTAAAATGGAATTGACTTAGAAGCCTAAAGAAACAGATGTAGCAATAGGTAGTTAGCAATTATGAACACAAATACTTACACTGATAAGCATATATATAAATATATATGTGGGTATGTATGTGTACACATATACATGCATTTAAATATATGCTTGCTAACTGGATATCTATCTGTAAAAAACTGAAACAAGACCCATACCTCACACTATGCACAAAAACTAACTCAAAACGTATCAAAGAACTAAATACAAACTCTAAAATGATAAAGATCATGGAAGACAAAATAGAGACAATGCTAGGAGCCCTAATACATGACATAAACAGAATATAAACTATAAGTAACAATGCACAAACACCAGAAGAGAAACTACATAACTGGGAACTCCTAAAAATCAAACACTTATGCTCATCAAAAGACTTCACCAAAAGTGTAAAAAGACAACCTACAGACTGGGAAAAAATTTTTGCCTAAAGACAAATCCGGTCAGCATCTAATCTCTAAAATCTGTAAGATACTGCAAAACCTCAACAACAAAAAGACAACTAACCCAGTTAAAAAATGGGCAAAGGATATGAACAGGCACTTTGCCAAAGACATTTAGGCGGCTAACAGACACTTGAGGAAATACTCACGACCATTAGCCATTAGAGAAATGCAAATTGAAACTACAATAAGATACCA